AAATCGCTTGTTTCATTATTCAACATTGAACCTAATCAAAGCAAACAGTACCACAGTATTTATGGGTTGGCACACAAGAGACTAGGGCATGGGAAGTCATAAACTTGGTATTAGGGATATAAACAGGATAGACGCGGCTGAGACTGGAGCTAGTTGGCCGATTGTAGGTTTTACCAGAGACGTGGTCCATGTAGCAAAGGCATGACCATGAGACTTACTCAGAGCCTTCAGCCTCGAATTAGTTACCCAGACGCAGCGGAGGGCGAACAACGCCTCGAGTAGCTCAGATGGGGTTGCAGAGGTCGAGTGAAATACGTGAACCAAGGAGAAAGTAGACGGATCTTACTGGCAAGAGAGAGATTGTGATAAGATATAGGGAAGGAGAACTGAGTAACAATATGGCAGATTCTGATCAACATTCCCAGCACAAGGGTGAAGAGGGTGAGAACGGCAGCGTAGAGTATGAAGGTTCTCATGAATACCGCCCAAAGGAGCACACAACACTACATCGAAATAAGCACGGTAAAAATTGTAACAGTGAAAGTGTGATATGAGGATATGAGAAATGTGAATAGCCCAGAGCAGAAGTGGAGATACCATAATTGTTTAACACACGTTTGGTCAAAGGATCGGCTCGATTTGTCTCTTTGACGGGTTGTGTTGTTAAGATTGGCGAGACACACTGACGATGCCGACTAAGATGCCGGCGAAACGTCTGGGAACGTACCACGTCCACGGTCCGACTTTGGAAATGATCATGCATACAATGGATTCCGGACTAGGTGTGTTCCTCTAAGTCTTCCTACCAATATGACCAAGTTGTGAAAACAAGGTCGAACAACTTCTATATAACGAAAGGAGACTGAGACCACGCAAAAGGCCACACTATCTTGGTCTTCATACCTTCAAAGGAGAGACTAAGCTTACCAATATTAATAGGGCGTTAATGTTTCCTCTTGATGTGCACGAACAGGCTTAGAAGCTTTTTTGGATGCTGCAAATTTCAGAACAAATCCGAAACTACTCGCCAGCCTGGATAATAAATTCTTGCTAGAGACACATCTATGTAATATTAAATGACATCTCCAATCCTTCTACTTAGTTCATTTCCAGGAATTCTACTCTTGGGTCTTCCACCATCATTTCTAAGACAATGTTTCTTCAGTTTCCGGTAAGGTTAATTTACTAATCCTTTTCATCCCATCTTTCATACTAAATGAAATATTCAATGCTATGCCCTTCAAATTGATTCGTCCTAATTTTAATTACAAAAACCTAATCGCAAAATCTACAAAAGGAGATGTGATTTTGATAGGTCACATAGACGGCATGTGTAGCTATATACTACCGATCAACCAAAACATAGACCACCGTGCAGTTTTATTTTATGGAGTTTGCTTTATTTCTTTATGACGCACCATTTACGATCTCAAGACTCCATACGATTGTCAATTTTCCAACAACTTTTTAAAAGTAATTTTTTGTGTCATTGGATTTACTATTATGCGGTTTCCAAAAGAATATGATATAGCAGAGGCCTGACCTTCCTTGAAATTCAATTATGCCCTGTGACTCAAGGTTACTCGCGGCAGTGTAGCCGAGTGGTTAGCGTGTCAAGCTACCGTCCTGCACTGTCGCAGTTCGAATTCCGCTGAGGGTGTTGAAAAGACCAATGCGAGGTCGAAACTGAAGTTCACCCAGGATGAGAACAACTTTTGGGAAAGCAAGGCTATGT